CATAAAAATGTTAATGAACATAAAATGTTAATGAAAAAATTAAAAAAAAAAGTTAAGTAAAGATAGATAATTGAAGAAATATATTCTAAGGTAAGTTATTTTATTAATCATTATTATGTAGGGGAATTTTATATAGAAAAAGTTTTACAATTTTATTCTTAAATTTAAAAATGTAGTAGTTAACATTAAAAACAAACAAATAAAATCTTTTGTAATTTTCACTGGATGTTAATATAAGTGTAAAAAATATAGCAATAAACTATATATAAAGGAGTTATCATATAATAATACAATAGGACAGTTACTGGAAATAAGTTCCTATACTACTACAAAACTATGTACATAACCGAACGGTTATTACAAAGCTAGAGTTATAACCGAACAATTAATACAAAACTACCATTAGATGTATAACGAATGGTCCTAATCTAAACAACAGGGTCCTCGACATCCAATGCTTGCTCCAACGAACACTCTTCCCCCTCTGCTCACACCCACACGGTGATCATTGCAAAATAAAGAATACCGAACGGAAGACATAACAAAATAGACAACAAATCATGCAAACAGAACAAATACATAAACATATATCAACTAAACACTTAAACTCATGCAAATGACTGAACACATTATTTCAGACAAAGACCGACCACTTGACTTGACTATCCAGATCGTATGAATATGTAGCTTGAGGCTGTTCATCTACTCGGGTGGTGTAGTAACTGGAAACCCATCAGTTGCCACCCGAGGTTAATCCGTTATAACTAACCCAAGAACCTATGGGCTAGGAACTCCTGCCATTCTCACACAATGCATTACCCATCTCTACTTGAGAATTGGTAACCATCAGAATTTCAGGATGAACTTCGTGGATTTCGCTGTCCATACTCATACTTTACCACTTTGATAACCAACACCGAGACATCCCTCCTTGGAATTCTCTTTCATACCAATAGAAACATCATACCTTATTTGAACATCAATATAATTTCTAATACATAGTAGATCAATGCAGCTATAACAAGCAATAAAAAACAAACAGTGAAATCAACATTTAAAGACTAAATAACTTTTCGTAAAAGAAGATCGAACGACAACAACACAACCCCAGAGTACAACCGAACGGAAACTCACTAATTATGACAAAACCGAACATCATTAAAAGATTGTGTACCAGTACAAGGCCGAGCACTATGACATAAGACGAACATCTACAACTTAGTTCGAACACTTAAGATTGATACTGAATACCATTGATAAAACCTAGCACTACTAAGAGACCTAGCGTTACAACAATATGACCAAACTATATACAAGAACTACTATCTAATCATAACCGAATATTCATGAACATGTAAAGCCCATGAGAAGCCGAACACCTATAACTTACACCGAACCCAATTAAGCTGAATATAATTACAAGGTCGAGCACTAGTATAAGAACGAGTGCTAATAAGAGACCAAACACTAGTGTGAGAACGAACGTGATAGATAAACCGTATACTAGTACAAAAACGAACGTTATGACAAGACCGAATATTGTTAAAATCGATCGTCAGTACTAAATCGAGCAACACTAAGACAGAACACTACTACGAAACTGAATACCACTAAAACCGATTACCTGACCTGACCGAGCGTTCAACAACGAGCGCTCGACTTTCTGCATAATTCTGCAGAACTTCTGCAGAATGAAATACACACTAGAATTTCCCAAAACTTAATATTTTTCCCAATCCAGAATTCACCCCAAGATCGGTATAGTCTACAACTTAACAATCACAACATTTAACATGTCAAACAACAATGTCGATCACCCAAACATTCAATTTCAGTAACATGCAAAACCATCAAACAACGTTTTCATACATCACCAACCAAACAATTAAATTAACTAGCTTCCCTTACTTCTTAACCAAACCGAAAGACTTATATCCTTCCAAAAATTTGATCACTTCTAGAAAATCCTAAGGACACCTATAACTCATTGATTGGTGAGAAGAGACCCACCAAAGTACCAAAAAGGAAGTTATAAAGAGAAAGAAAAGGCTAATAAACACATGCAAACAACAAAGTTTACTTGCATGTGTCAGAAATTCCAGAAATTCACAAGAATTAAAGGAATGAAACTTACAAGCTCTAAACAAGAGTCTGATCGGTAGAAATGGAAGCTCTTGACACCACAATTCCAGAGGCACAGTCTGATTGTAGAATAGATGAAATGAGATGAAAGAAATCTAGAGAGAAGGAGGAGAAAAGAAGGATTCAGAAAGTTAGAGTGAGATGGTGCATGCAGAGAGTGAAATGTGAAATTTGAAAATTTCATATATATATCACTGTCAAAACCAATCAATCCAATCAACTGCATACACTTGTCATTCTCCACTTTCTTTGAATTTCTCGATCCTTACAGTAAGACTTGATCTGAGTTCATATGATTTTGGAAAAAAAAAAGTCTACATGACAAAAAAATATTTTATTAAAAGAACTCATAAAGTTAAATGTTTATAAAACTCAACTAGTCAGAACCAGTTTATGGATTTTTTTAAATTTATTAACTATTTTATTTTTATTAAAATATTCTAAATAATATTCAAAAATTTTCTAATTAAGTTAGCATATTGGTTTAAGTAATACTGTAATTTAATCATGTGCACTTGCCTAAATAAAATTATGCAATTGTATTAATATCTAATTTTTTATTTTTTTTATTTTATAAAATTGTATATATTTTTATTCAATTTTGATATATAAAAATATTTATGTTATATTAACAATGTTTTATAAAAGTAATAACTTATTTTATTTTTTATAAAGGATTCTTTTGAGAATTTTTTTTAAACTGAAACACACTTATAATATTTTAGATGTCAAAAAGAAAAAAGTTAAAAATTTATTTATATATAATATTTTTTAAATAATTTATAAAAATAATTTCATAAAAACTTTCAAAAACATAAAAAAATTATTTACAATTGTATTCAAATATAAATAATTTCTGGACTTATAAAAAATGACTTACTTTGAATTTTCTTTTCTTTCAAAATTACCTTATTTTAAGCTTAAACAAACTTAAATTATATTATATTTTTACTTTTTTAAAATAATGAAATTATATATCTATGATATGATTATAATTAAAAAAATATTTTGGTTAACTTTTTATAAAATATTTATATATTATTTAGGGATGAAAGATTAAAATCAAATATAAATTAACTTAATTTATTTTTTAAATATGTACAAAATAATTATTATACTAATTTTTATCAAAACTACATCTTTTTTTATTAAATAATAAAAAACTATCCTTGTGAATTAAAATTTTTAAAAAATCCTGAACATAACAATAAAAGTTGATTTTAAAAGGAATTAAGATCAATCCTATACTTAAAATCTCAAATAATAATTCTACTTAATAATGAACATCAAGAATACCTCTTAAAAAAATCATTTTTTTTATTTACTTCATTTAATAACCACTTCATCATCCTCTTATTTGAATTTCTCTCAAATCAAAATCTTTTGAAAAGATCAATTATCTTTTGATCTGATGTTGACCTTTTGAATTTTCCTTCTCCAAAATTTATCCTTTTTTGAAATATTCATAATATCACATATCTTATAACATATACTTAGTTAATGGTCTGAACTTCTATTAACAAACTCAAAAATACAAAAGACTAACATACTAAACGATTTTTTTTTTTATAAAAATACTAAAACAAAAAATATATAAATAAAACTACTCAATATTTCAACTTAAAACCTTTCTTCCACGACATAGTTTGATTTTTTAATGTGATTATTTTTTAAAAGGTAAATAAAAAAAATGAAGAAATACATTTTCTCAACCTCATAATAAAAAGAAATTAAAAAAAATTCTGTCAAATGCTCCTTTACTTACTTCAATGACAAGTATAATATTATTTTGTATTTAAACAAAAATTAGGAGTGAGTTACTTATAACAAAAGTAAATCTACATTTTACACTTAGAAACTCAGACGTGTTCATTTTTTTATTATAATAAAAGATAACAAAATTATTATTATTATTATTTAATTTTATAATTATAAGATCAAATATGAATGATTTTATAAATTGATTGTAAATAATTTTTATTTATTTTGTAGGTGGTTTTATAATTAAAAAATGATTAAGTTTAAAAAATGTCAAATAAAAAATATTAAATTTAAGGAAATAATTATTAAAGGATAAAATTGATAAAATATTAAGAAAAACAACAGCTGAGATTAAATCACGCTTAAAACAAATATATAAAATGTTTGTTTATAAAAATAACAAAAAATATAATTCTTAACATCTATCATACTCATCAAAGCTTTTCAAAAATCATGCTCACCAAAGGAAATCGATTCTAAACTAAAACAAGGTGGGGTGGATATATATTATAAAAATTTAAATTTAAATTGACTACGTCGTAGGGTTCTCCATAGTGTTAGCCTTGTAGCATGTAATTTCGTTCCACGCGTTTCAAATTACAATTATTCGGCGCCATTATAGCAGGGCCAATCGAAGTTTCCTGTTCAGTGCCCCAAGCGCGTTTGGACATTACGAATACAAACCTTTAGCATGGCCATCTTTATCTCGCTAGCATGTGGTGATTGACAAAGCTTCCAAACACGCCCTTAGTTTCAAAACACACGACGCACACTCCTCCTCCCTCCTCGTAACTTGGTCGCATTCTAATTATCAAGAACTGGTTAATTTGCATTCTTAATCTTCACTCTTCAACAAGGTGAACATTTTCTTTTCCTCTTTCTGCGTTTCATAAAGTGCGACAAAATTCTGAAACTTTATTTTTAATTCAACCTTGTTCTTTCATTCGAATGGACACTAGTTTGAGTAATTTTGATTGGATTTCTGCCTCTGTGAATCTTTAAAATTCCAGAAAAGTATTTGAAATTTACTTTGACGTTAAATTACTGGTCTTCCTTAATTTTTGAACAATTGTGTTTGTGTTGCGTACAGTGTGGTGGGAATGTCAATGATGATGGAGAAGGTAGAGTCTGGACAGAAGCTATACACGAAAATGCGGCTTTGGGAATTTCCGAATCAGTATGTGATTGAACCAACAGATGGATCTTCTTCGGGTTCTTATTTGTCAGTTAGTCGAAAAGATGGCTCCATCAAGCTCATTGGTTCGTTCTTACTCTGTTTTCGTTGATATTTTGCTCCCGTTTTTCATTTGTCATGTGCTCTCAGTATAACTGAGTGTTCGCTTTCTGTGTTTTTATTTTTTGTTTTCTACAGATGAGATTTCTGAAAGCAGTACCGTTCGAGTTCCTAAAATTTTCACAATTTATGGGGTGGCTGGGATGTTGCGGCTTTTGGAGGGTAAGTGAACGTTAGCCTTAGCAATAGCAGAGCCAAGGTGAATTGTGAATTTTTTTTTTCTTTTCTGATATTGTCTTAAATAAATAGTATATATGATGACCAAGTGTGATTAGTTGCTTTTGGTTCATTTACATCAACTAGAGTCAGTGCTCGAAGTCTCTGGTTTTTCTTCTTTGCCAGTGCTTTTGATTTTGATCATGATATTTATTTTGCATATATCTATTTTATATATACGAGGTGAAAATGAGTTTTTAAGTCTAACTCAACTCTACAAAATCGGTTTGTAAGGTGAGGTTTACACTTCACTTATATATTATAAATTGATTTTATCTCTACTTGACGTGAGACTTCCAACATACACCTTTCACACCGAGGTATAAATATCTCGTGTGTAAGAGTAGAAATTAATGGAGTGGTCCGATAGCGGTCCGACAACGGGTGAAAACAAAAATGCCACATATAACTTGTTAAGATAGGCTCTAACCATGACTCTAGTACCATGTTAAAAAGTGAATTTTTAAGCCTAACTCAATCCCATAAAATGGACTTATAAGATGATGTTTTTACCCACTTATAAACTATGACTTGGTCTCAGTAGATGTGACTTCCAACACTTTCTTGCATGGATGTATTCCTTTTCAATAGTAGACATCCATTTGACCATTTACTTTGGGTTGAACTTTAAATGCCTTAGGATCGTATTTGCTGGCTATAACCGGGCGTGAATGTGTTGGATCCTACTTGGGACATCCAATTTTCAAAGTTTCATCTCTAAAGGTTTTTCCATGTGATTGTTCCCAACGCAATATCCCTTCTGAACAACAGGTACCTGCTAGAGTTCCACTTGTATCGTTGATTTTATGTTAATAAGCAATTTGAAACTCATAATCGCTGTGTAATGTGTCAGAAGAAGACAGAGATCGATTTTTCTGGGATATTAAGAGTTGCTGAGAAGACTACGGGTCTGTTCTTCTCGTACGACGCCAATTTAACACTCAGGTGAACTTTTATTTGTTTTTATATTTTTAGCAAGCATCCAAATTTTCAGGGAATCAGACATTACTCTTAATTATTCTTAGGGAAATTATCTTCCGATTAGCAAGCGGGTGTGCAACCATGCAATCTTTTAACGTATTCAAATTTAAAAAGCATACCTTTATTTTTTGTAACACTAATTAGTATATTACAATTTTTTATCACGGAATTAAGGATAATCACATCAGGCTTTGTTGTTTAATGGCCGAAGTGTGTATTCGTGCATGCTTGAGGACATTCACGCTAAGTTTTGAAATGACTAATGAGAAGGAATTGAAGTGAGTGTAACTTTAAAATGTCTCTTTTAATAAACTTGTATTTTTCTTCGACTGATAATCTATATTTGGACTTAATCAATATATCATCGGTAATCTTCACTAAAAGGCTTCATTATATACAGTTGTAAATTACACCATTCTTAATTAGAAGTATTTGCTAGTACTTCAATTTAAATTGAAGGTTGTGGGCTGGTTCGTATAAGAAAAGAAAGTATGGGGTTGATGTTCCCTATTATTATCACCTTAATTAGAAGCCATAATCATAATTTATGATTAGTTTGTCATTCTCATCCTACCCAAAATTCATTTTATTGATACAAATGTACCCACAAATTCAAATATTACATTAAATTATCAATAAATGCATTCATACTTAAGAGGGAAAGATATATTTATTAATTGAACTTATTAATATTTAAATTACTTTTATTATAAATTTATTGACTATTATATTCACTCTTTTTAATTATCTAACGCTACATTTTAATATAAAGTATTTATACTGAGGGGAAATACTTAATATTGCAATTGAGATATCAATTTATTTTATTTAATAATTTTTAAATTAAAAGGCCTTGGTATGATGTTTTCGTTAATGCATACTATAATACATATAAACATTTATATATATGACATACATATCAAATTTCATCATATGAAATTAATTAAAATTGAAATCTCAAAGTACAGAAATCAAATTTAATTTCTTATAAGTGAATGACTATCGGGTGAAATCATAAGACACCGAATGCATTAAAAGTAAATTGACTTTGATAGATCTTGAAGGTGAGAAATGTTTACAATATAATCAGATGCATGATTAAAATATGACAAAGGGCAATTTAGGAGGCCTTAATTTTAATTCAATTTTTGTGGGTATCAATGTGATTTTTATTTTATTTTTTGTAATTTTTACTCTATGTAAGAATCTCATACTTTTATTAATCTTTTATTTGGAAGTTGCAAAAATATAAAAGAAAATTTTAAATTTTTATGACCCATATTCTTATTTTTTATGTTAGATTACCATACTTTATACTTTATTGGGGAGATCTTATAAGATTAATATTTTATAACTTGGTGTATAACCCCTGGGAGATGCTCTTATATTGGTTTCAAAAGAAAGATAATAATTCTCTTAAATAAACTCTCAAGTCTGAATTTAGTGAATTAAAAAAATATATAACTGGAAGTGAAGATCCTAAAAAAGTGGTTTATGAAGTTTTTCTATGTAGATTAATCATTTACAAAATCAATATACATCTATAATTCTATAATATGGTAAAAAAAATACATTATTAGAAAAACTTGTTATGTTTGTGATTGCAAGAAAAAAGTAATTGGAAAATTGTATTTATGATATGACTTAAATATTATGCGCTGCAGTACCCAAAGGCTAAATGACCTTGGTGACGAGTCTAGGTCGCTTCCCCTTTGGAGACAGGTAATATATTGCCTTTGTCTAGTCATTTGTTATAGAAGAATTTTACTACCCAAAATTGAAAAGTTTGAGCTTATCACTACCCTCAGCTCTTTCAATGTATATATGCAAACAATGCCACTGTGGTGATTCAATCTGATTTTCTATTTCGTTTCATATTTTCTATTTTTTGCTTATGTTACCAATGCTTTAACACAGGCAGAGCCTCGATTTCTATGGAATAATTATCTGTTGGAAGGGCTCATAGAGAACAAGGTAGGCTGTTTTAAACTTGTTCATACTTTTTTGGTTCCTTGATTGCTTATGCATTCGTATATTACTAACTAATTAATAATGTTTTAATTCTGTGCATGCAGCTTGACCCATACTTACTCCCTATCGTCCAAGGCAGTATCCTTTTCCCATCGCTATATATCTATTCCTTTACTCATTTTTTGACAAGTAATATTTGTTTGGGTAATTTGCTTTATTTTGACCAATTATAGTGTTATATGTCAATCATTAATTATTTCTTTTTAGGATTATCCTTAACAAATCATTAGGTTTTCATCACTTTGAATCTGCTATCGGGAAAGATATTATTGAAATCACGTTAATCGCTAGGAGATGCACGAGAAGAAATGGTATTTAATATGTTTTAATAAATTTGTATTTGTTTCTTCATTATCTATGCACTTACGAAGTTTTTGCTTGTGCTTTGTATAAGGTTGAATCAACCATGAACTCTCCCAAATCACAGTACACCAAGAACAGAAAAACATGGATGGAAAAAAAAAATAACACACTACAACCAAATGAGTGATAAGTGGAAAAGGATTTACCACTTTGAATATGGAAATTTGTTGATAAGAAACAAGGGTGATTATCTCACCCAAGACTAGTGTTCCTCACGATTACCAAATGCTAAAAAGTTCAATTTCATTTAAAGTTGTCTAAACGGCCTATTTACAAAAGTATTTAAAGAAAGAAGAAGCTTATGGTAGAAGCTTTCTTTAACTAGGCCTTGTTAAGACAACATATGCTTCCTAACTATGATTTGAGAAGCTTCTCTAATGAGTCAAATAAAAGCTCATTTACATATTCTGTGACAACCTAAACTATAATTCTTAGCATATTCGGCCAACTATTCGTAAGTTTGTATAATTATAAGTTAGCTACTTTTAACTAACAATTTAACTACCTCATATTTTCTACCAATGATATAAACTTCTCTCACAAGTTCAATCATGAGATAGTTACAATAGGGTTGTTAACTAACAACCTAACTAATCTTCTAGCTTCCATCATTAATTTGTCCAATACCAAAATGCTAAGTCTTATAAAGAATTTACGAAAAAGTAAAGCTAAAACTCGTCTCCAATGTTCGTTAGTGATGGAATTCACATTTCTAATCCTGTCTCTAGCATGCTTCCTTATCTTGAAAGTCTTTTCTTCTTTAGGTTTTCTTGGCCTCTATCATGTTCTTCTTAGGTCTCTACTAATTATTGTTCCTATTTGAAGATCCACTAGACAAACCAAAACCCCCCACAACACTGTTCTCTTACCAACCGTACCCATAGTCCTTCTTACAATCTTTCATCAACCAGATCTTTTGTGCCAAAGAGCCCTTTTTCATCAAGCTTATCTTTTGCAAAGTGTGTCCCAAGTGATGAAATTAAGGCATTAGAAGCAAACCATACTTGGTCTTTTGGTAACTTGGCCTCCTGGGAGACATTGTATCAGTAGTAGGGTGGGCTTATAAATTGGAAAATAAACCTGATTGATAAATATATAAATATAAAGCTCATTCGGTGGCCAAGGGATACATACAATAGGTAGGCTTTGTTTTTTCCTTTTCTTTTCTTAATTGATTTTTTTTTTTTTTTTGTGTGGAGGTTTATACAAAGGTTACTTTGTATAGACCATAGATTTATTTTGAGATCATACATCGCTCTATTCAACTTGCAGACCATATATTTATCTTAAGCTTCAACATGGAAAAATATTATTTACACCAAGTTGAAATATAGGCCATTTTTTACTAAGTTCAAGAGTGAGAATAATGTGAATCATGACAGGTATAATAATAGGAGATAATGTTCTGAAAATAATATTCAAACCTTTAATTAAATCTTTCTGCCACCAGTCTAGCCTCGTAATTGTTTATTGAGCTATCTCCATTTTCTTTGACTCTAAAATCCTTTTTGCTTCCAACGCAAATCCTGCTTGGAGATGAAGGAACAAGAGTCCAAGTAATATTTTTCTGTGAAGCAACAAACAATTTTAGGATAACCTATGAGGTAAACAACAATGGTGAGAGGATGATAAGGTTTAGGGAAGAGAGGTTTGACTAAGAAGAGAAAGACTCATTTCAACTATGTGTCAATGTTTTCTCTCCACATTACCACTTTGGCGATGAGTAATAAATGATGAATAATGCCTATCTTATTAAGTTAGCAAATAAATACATGAAATTCCCACCTCCTTCTCCCCAATAATGTGTTCATTAAATTGCAACTCAAACATGCTTTTGAACTGTTTAAAAACTTTTAAGGCATTAAATTTATTTTTAAGAAGATCTATATATCCATGTGAAAGATGAGTGGGCATCGAAAAAGGATTTGCAGTAACGAAAATTACCATGAGAATTAATGGGAGCATGTCTCCATAGGTCACTATATATCAATTCCAAAGGAGAGACATACTTATTTTGAGACAATTGGTAAAAAATGAGTTTTTCCCATGTAACATGCAAACCGAAAGGAAACTCAAACCTTATTAAAAAAGTTGATATTATATTGTTGAAAGACAAGACAAAGGACATTTGAACTAGGATGTCCTAATGTAAGATGCCAGTATATGGAAGAGTTGTTCATACAAGGAAAGTGGGACAAAATTTTAGCTGAGGGAAGAGACAGATTGCAAAATTGATAGAGCCCATAAGGACGACATGACCTTGAAGAAGAATTTCGATGGAGTCCAGATTTAACAAAATACTTGTTAAAATAAAACTAAAAAATGTACAGATTGTCACAAGAAAAATTGCTTTCACTAATGAGATTTTTGCTTATACGAGGGACATGTAATATATACTATGAAGAACTAATCAGACACGATTGCAATATGGTGTGGAAAACTTTGAGGAACACAGTGAAAATATTTTCAGACCTTGACCATAAAAATATCTTATCAAAACTTTTAAAAGAAGAACTTTGCTGAATGTTTTGAGCGTTTATTGTTACATGACAGAAAGCACCTAATTCAGAAAACCAGGTTGAGTTTGGTGTTGGATCAAAATCTACAATCATAGGCTGATGTTTTTTCCTTTAATATCGTTGCTGCTATTGTGGTTGCAACTGAGAGGAACCAGGTAAATGCCACTGATAAGGATTACCACGATTTTTTGGATAAGAATTCAACTATGATGAATTAGATTGATTCCACTGCCGAGACCAATTGGAACCTCCATTATTTGATAATTGATATTGGATATTAAACTTGTTCTAGCATGTTAATGTGTTGTGACCGTACTTGACACAAACCTAGCATTGAATACTTCTTTTGTCACCAGTTCGTTCTCGACCTACCCAAAGGACCACCACAATTGCCTTGGTTTCGAAATTTAGAATTAGATTTTGATAGTTAACATTTGAGTCTAAGTTCTGATTTATCAATTTAGCTTCTATAATATTCACAAAAGACGAATCGAAAAGGATGAGAGGTTGTACTTTTGATTTCTAAGTTCATAAGCAAGAATTGAATCTTCTCTTCCTCGCTTGAAATTTCACCAATACGACTTTCAACTAAAGAATAATATCATGAAATTATTTTGGTGAGCCTTCTAAAGTAGAACCAAGTGTTCACGATGATAAGTTGGATCTCGAACAGCAGAAAGTATCAATAAGTGCTTCTGATGCAAAGTAAGTACTCTTCAATTGTGGTATTTTCCAGTAATGAATGATGAAGTTCAAATTCATGTTATCTTGCCCAAGTGTGAGTTTGATGACAGAAATATGTATGTATTTTGTCCCATATTTCATGAGAGTAAACTGGTCCAAGAACACGATCAAGCATTGAACTCGATAATGACGATTGAAGCCATGCAAGAAGAAATTGCTTTTGCTTTTCCCAAGCCAGGTACTATTGATTGATGAAACTCTGATAACGATCACTTTTAGAAAGAATAAGCATCGGAATAGAAGGAGAAACAACAAACCGCTGAAAACGCGTTGATAATAGGTTCGGTTTGTTGTCAACATAGCAAAAAATTCTTCTCATAAAGCTTTTTAGTGATTTGATGGGAAAATGTGGCCGGAGAAGCCACCGGGATTGAAGGGGAAACCCCGTCAAGAATTGTGGCGAAAGCCAAGAAAAAGGATCAATGAGCTCTGGATACCATGATAAACACTGACGCTAATTTTATTAGTAAAGTAAGAACTAAAGTAATTTCCTCACAAATAACAGAAACCACAATTGCAACAGAGTGAACAACACTAACTTGGGATCTGATTATTTCACGGTTCTGTTGGTGAGATTGCCCAATTTAGATACTTTTTTTTTCATTGCAACACAGGCTGGGTTAAGTCGGCGATACCTATATTTCTGACTGGATAGGGTCCTTTTGTGTATCAAACATTTTTCCAGAATTTTGGGGTTTTAGATGAGTTTGGCATTGCAAGCCAAGAAGGATAACAGTGAAAGAGAGAAGGAAGAAACTTGTGACAGTGCAAGCCACGAGACTACACAGGCTCCCAAGGATTTCGGAGCTTGGATACAGCGTCAGAAGCAATTTTTTATAATTAGAACAGAAATTTCTCTTAAATAGAATGCCAAAGATCTAATTAAGGGATTCCTAAACTATTGAAATCATAGTTAACTTCAATGATTTATGGTTATATAAAATGAGGTAACTAACCTATTCTCATAATTAAAGCATTTACTTTTGTGTGTAATTCAGAATCAACACAAAATGTTTTAGGGTTAATATCTTATTCTGGTGTATTCTTAGGGATTCGAACACAACATTTAGCCATGGAAAGTTGACTTCAGCAAAGAAGATTAACTCAACTTCAGTTGACAGCCTTTATTGAACAAACAACCCTTTACCAAAAACCACATACAACCCCAAAGTTGTCATACATTTAATGCTAAAGATAAAATTAAAATAGACAATCTCTTTAGTCTAACATAATCTATAAACTATAAAATTTGTGTGAGAAAACTTCGTTGTCATCTGTGGCTGCTTAATGAAGCACGTGTCGTTGATATTGGTTACTAGGGTGCCATATTACAGATAACAGTTAATCTGTTATCGCCTAGTAGAGTACAAAAAACTCCCAATAGATTGTACTGAATTAGTGTCATTGATTGATTGGCTAATGACACAAACACAATCATTTCCTGAAAGGAACCCGAATGTGGAGAAGAGGAGCTGATCCTGATGGATATGTGGCTAATTTTGTGGAAACAGAGCAAATTATGAAGATCAATGGGTATACAGGATCAATTGTTCAGGTAACGCTTTGTACTATCATACTGCAATGCAATATAATGGTTTTCTAGATTTTTTTTAATTTATGATTCTATTTCAAATCATTAGGATCTATAGCTATTTTGAAATAGCTCTTTGATTAACATTAGCTCAATTATTAAATTGAACTTTTCTCACCAATTGTTACTTTACCTTGTATTAGATAAGAAAATTACCATTTTTTAAGTCCTATACCATATGTTTAGAAAATTATTCATTTACTTAGTTTTTTGGTCGAACTTCATTCCCTGTATGAATTACTGCTTGATGTTTCGTTTCAATGTATTGATAGTAAACTACATCAGAAGTTAGCTTTTCTCTCCAGAAGCAAATAAACAATTGTTATCTGAAAAAAGCAAATTAATTGTCAAATTTTGAAAAGTAAGCTTTGGTAGCTGCAGAAAATCATAATTGTATGCTTGGTAGCGAGTCATAATCCATGGTGAAATTTTGACTTGCTAAAATGACCTGTAATCATGCTTTTCATTTACATAAGTATCTAATTTGCTTATAATTTGCAGGTTCGTGGTTCAATTCCGCTGCCTTGGCAGCAAATTGTTGACTTAACATATAAACCGAAGTATGAATTACTGAACCATGAGGAAGCTGTAAGTTGTTATTTTATTGCTTTATTTCTTGAAGTTTTCATCTAATAAACTAAATGTATTTGACTATGGTTTCATTGTTTATTATGCAGCCCCGAGTTTTGGAGAGGCATTTCTTAGATTTAAGAAAAAAGTATGGGTCTGTGTTAGCTATTGACCTAGTTAACGAGGTGAATATTATTCCATTCCAAAAAACTTAAAAGGCTTATCTCATGAATGTCACAGATGATTCTCGGGTCTATAATTGGATGCTGAACCCTAAAAGTAACTATAGAAATTGCATACTGTCAAGAATATGGTACCGACCAAATACTATCATTCTATAATGTATAATGCTGTGCATGTCCTAAGAATATCGTGTTAATAAGGATGGATTTATGTATCACCATGCATCTATTTGAGTGTATTTTCTTCTCTACGTGGTTTCTTAATAGCACGGAGGAGAAGGTCGGCTATGCGAAAAATATGGAAAGACAATGCAACATGTATCTGGTAATGATGTCAGGTAGGAGTCTCTTTCACTTATATATATATATATATATATATACACACACAGAGAGACACATATATATCTGTTTTTGGAATTGGTGCAAACCCTTTTTACTTTTTTGTAGATATCTGCATTTCGATTTCCATCACGTTTGCGGGCACATCCATTTTGATCGTCTTTCAATCCTTTATGATCAAATATCTGATTTTATTGAGAGAAATGGGTATGATATTTTATTATTTAAGTTTTTAATCATTTAGATATAAAATTGTCTCATATTCAATGATTTGATTTGCATTCATTGCCTGCTATGCCCAAGTAGACCTCAACATTTATAGTTTTACTATGTTGCATAATGTAATTTGTTGTCTGGCTGCAGAATCTCTTTCCTTTCTATGTTTGTAATCAATTTTTACTCGGCATTATTTGAAGGGTTCCAGAATTTTGATCCCTCGTTACTATTCTGTTTTGAAATTGTAGATACCTTCTATTGAATGAAAAGGGAGAGAAAATGAAGGAGCAACTTGGGGTTGTGAGAACCAATTGTATTGATTGTCTAGACCGTACAAATGTTACTCAGGTCGGTTGGTCTATGCGATGCAAGTTTTTTAAACGCTTAATTCCTTCTGTATTATCAGTTTGGACTTGCTGCTTAGTATCAAATAAAAAGCTCAGCATTATCTATTTTTACCAATGTGTGCATTTGTTGCATGATTTTCCCACTTAATAATGTTCTTACTCATATGCAGAGCATGATAGGCAGAAATATGCTAGAATTCCAGCTTAGAAGAATTGGGATCTTTGGTGCCGAGGAAACCATTAGTTCACATCCAAATCTAGATGACAGCTATAAGATCTGTACGTGTATTGCTAATTTTCAAGTTACATAAATTTTTCTCCTGTTTAGATTGTTTCATAGGATTTCTAACCTAGTTTCTCTTCTGACTGACTCTATTATCAGTGTGGGCTAATCATGGGGATGATATAAGTACTCAATATACAGGCACTCCTGCTCTCAAAGGAGACTTTGTCCGGTATTTCCCGTCAATTTTTCCATCACTTTCCTTGTTCATCACACGTAATTACATTAGCATAGGGATAATTTCAAAAATGGTGTAACAATTTCTTATAATTTTCAATCGTGACGCTCCTAAGTTTAAAATTTAACCTTGTGCCACCTCCTCATTAAGTTTTGTTTGGATTCAGATTTGGGCATCGCACAATGCAGGGGATAGTAAATGATGGTGTGAATGCTCTTATGCGCTATTATTTGAATAACTTCTGTGATGGAACAAAGCAGGTCTCTCTATCTTATCTCATATGTGCATGCTGTCATTACTTATTAACATACGAACGTACGTTGTATGTCTGGTCCTTCATATGTTTGAATTTTCTCTTTTATCCTCTTTTAGAAATTCAAGTAGAGTTAAAAGTTTCATATTTAGTAGAAATAATAAAAAAGATAAGTAATCATAAATGTACAGTGTTTTTGTTAAAAATAGTATTCTTATATGATTTTATCAAGGTTCACATATCTCTCCCATGGTAGACAATTCTTATTTTTCACGTAGTTGTGATCATATCATGAAACTTTGTTCATCAGTTATTGATCCTGTTCATGACTTCTTCTTTTTAATGTAAAGGATGCAATTGATCTCTTACAAGGGCATTTCATAGTTTCTGCCAACCGAGAACATAGTCCTTCTCAGAATCAAGGCATTGAAGCTATTGCTGTAAGTTCAATTTCTAGACTATATCTTTTTGGTTTTAGAAAAGTTATCAGAAATTTAATATAAATCAATGTTTACTTCTCTTTTAAATATGGCTAAATTCATTCCTATTATACTTTTATGAGTTGGGATTTGTTTTGATTGGGATGGAAATAAAAAGGGAAAGAAAGGAACGAAGAGAAGAGAAACTGAAGTTGTTTAAATTGAAACAAAAGAAGAATAGAAAGTCAAGGAAAAAGAATGGAAAGTTTTATTGAATTTGATTAATTTGAACAAAAAAATTAAATTAATTAAATAATTTAATAAGTTATAAAAATATTCTTGATATAAAAATTGAAAATGACTAATTATAAAATAATTAATTTACAAAATTGAAAATAATATTTAAATTTATTTTGTCAATAACATTACATAAAATTATATAGATCCAAAGGATAAATAAATTTTTAATACAGTTTTATACTTTTGTAGAAATTTAATTTATTTTATTCATATTTATTTTAAAAGCAAACATACTCAAAATCATGGGTTAAATATGTTTTTAGTCCCTAAACTATTGACCGTTTCTGGTTTTCGTCCCTCTTTCAAAGTAAGGTACAATTTGGTCCTCATTCTTTCCGAAAACGTTCGTTTTAGTCCTCAAAAACTAACACCGTTTAAAAATTTGGTCCTCATTTAGCAACAAAATGAGGACTAAAATCAAAATTCCGAGGACTAAAACGAACGTTTCGAAAAGAATGAGGACCAAATTGTACCTTACTTTGAAAGAGGGACGAAAACCAGAAACGGCCAATAGTTTAGGGACTAAAAACATATTTAACCCCAAAATCATTAATATTTAATGATTTCGTAGAACATTAAGTTCCAAAATTATTGAAACTAGTCATTGGTTAAAAGATATTTGATTTCTATATGCTTCATTCATCCTTGGAAGATTGGACATAAAGTCTATTTGATTATTACAAATTACTATCATATAGAGAATCCTAGTGCAGCCTTTTTTCTGATTTTTAACATTCTCTGATGTTTTTTCTTTATTCAAATGTTCCTTCTCTATTTGGTGCTCTCTTTTTCTTTTCGAGTTTTTGGCGGATTTTTGGCTCTCCACCTTAAGTTCATGTTATTCCTTATATTCATTACTTGATGTGATTTGCATTTTAAAATTTGAACATTTATTTGTTTATCATTGCAGTCATTTCCTCTGGCTTTGGGTCTGGTTTTGACTGGCTTTTTTTTCACACTCATGTCGTTGACGCAAGGTGAATTAACTGTATACTGTTGAGAAATCTATGCCTTCTAGTTGAGAAACTTATTTTAATGAAACTAATTGCATATATCTGACATAGCTTTCAAGTGACGATCTTTAATTAACTTGTGCAGTCAGATATGATTTTAAGCACTTGTTCTTCTCACTTGTGTGGGCAAGCATTAGTGTTGGTATAGCAGCATTTGTGAAGGCCAATGGTCGCGTTTTCAGCAACAGACCTCGCCTACACAAGCCCCGGTGTTGACTCCATACACAGATCACTGTTTGCAATTAACAATCCTCAACTGCACGAATCTTTGCACTTCAATGTCCCTTGCACACTTCTTATGATATACTTATTCTATTATTATACTAATTTTGTAGTTATTATAGCTTCCAAAATTGATTCATATCCCATTACAGTGGTTTATGCTTTTTTGCCAGTTCTTGCTCTGGCTTCCTCTTTGTATATGCATGTTTTATTTCTGTCTTGTATAAGATTAAAGCACCTCAAGTTATCGGAAATTCATATTCATTTTATTCTTATTGTATGCTTTCAAGAGAATACGTTCCTTTCAAACTGCTTTGTTTCATTGCTGTATCTTCTGCAGACACTTTGTTAGGAACCGAGAATTGACAAAAGAAAAACAAAATAAAATGAGGAAACTCGGTTTTTCAAGATTTCTTTCACAAAAGATTTCTCCTTTCAAAAGAGTCAACCCCTCAATTTACAATCACAAAAAATCTGAATCTCTTCTATCAGCCTTTTTCCAACCATTTATATTCAATTACCCTCCTAACTAACTAATTAATATTTCTAAATACCATAAAAAATCCTTAAAAGTTGGTATATATGAATGAGAGAGAATGACTATTTTTTCCTTTTCTTCTTTTCAAAAACATGTTTATCTCTTATCAGCAAAGGAGGAAAGGTAGTGTTGGAAGTCACTAATTCTGTTAGGTGTCAAATGTTCCAAATGGTGTGGGAATAGGAGGAGCACAAGGAAAAAAATAACCCATTCATACCTTAGGACTACGCGTGATCTAATAGACTCTCCTCATGCTGCTCGTTTTCAAACTTTAGAATCTGGATTGACCACCCTAAGCACAGTGGGAACTACCTCACAATCATTGAACCGCCAGTGTCAAATGCTTCTGTTCCACTGTTTTAAATCTGTAATGTTAAACTTGATTTTTGGAACCAACTTCTCGGTTCCAAGTCCTTGTGGGTAATTATAGTGCAATAAATTAAAGTTTTTTAAATGGCAGATTTATTACTCAACGTTGTGCCTTTTTGTTCTGATGAATACTGGATGCAATTCCAGAGGATTTAAAACCAGATTTGGCTATCTTGTTACATACCTATAAGGATGTGTTTGCTATTCCTCAAGGCTTACCTCATAATAGGTCACATGATTATCATATTCCCTTGCTTCCTAATGCCAAACCAGTGCAAGTACAACCTTACAGGTATCTCACAGTCAAAAAGAACAAAATGAGAAAATGGTATATGTTGCAGGAAGGTCTCATTACCTCTAGGAAATAGTCCTTTTTCATCTCCAGTTAGTTGTCTTGTCCTTGTGAAAAAGAAAGACGGAACATGGAGGTTTTGTGTAGACTAGAACCTCGAGTGTTATTATTATTAAGGATATTTTTTGTCATTGTTATTTGTGGAGTAGCATTCCTTCAATCTCATTCTTGTTTAGTGGCCATCACAATTTTGTCATCTTTAATTTTCTTAATTTTACCTTTCATTGGACACTTAAAGAAACAATAATATATAATCATTTTTAGCTTAACAGGAGTTTTTCAGCTAAAGAAAAACTAACAAACATCTTTCACTCTAGCTTTTATTTTAAACTTTAACTTAAAAACAAAACTAAAGAAAACAAAAAAAATTGAATATTAAAGAGTTGAAGCAGCATCTTAGGAATACATTACAGATTGTAGCATTCTAGCCATGCAATGTACCTCACGAGGATGTAGTGGCATAGGGAGGCCAGTAAAGATGAAAACCAATCTCGTAGACAAGTGTTGAAGACTTTGCATGAAGGGGAGAAGAGGTAACATAGCCATGCACAAACAAGAAATCTTCAGTGCCTCCTACGACTGGAAGATTGGAAGATTTGACGTTATCTGTGACACCAACAACAGAAAGGGAGCCCTTGTGATTCTTCAAACGAAGAGTCAGCTTTGCAATCGAAATGCTTCGAAGGCCGTCAAGACTAGATGTGACTGTAGTTCCTTCTGAGATCCCAACCAGTTTGGAGGATCTGTTGGCTGCAACTGTCAAAGGGTCCTGAAAGGCAAATAAGGTGCCAAAAGGGGTTGTGGTTTGACTCACTCCTGCTCCTCCTTTTATACCATCCACTATGATATACCCTGTTTTGTTTATGGTCTCATGTTGAAACAGTGAGAAGTGAAGGGATTTCAGCTGTTGGAGATGCTCATGGGAGCCTGCAATGCCTTTCAGTTGGATTATGGCAAAAACTAAAACACCAAGAACATAGTTGTGTGAGGAAGCCATAATATGTTGGTTGCTTCTTCTCATCAGAATGGATACAACACTGATATCTCACTTCATTATATACAAGAAAAACATGTTTTTTTTTGGCACAAAACAATAGTCAAGTCAATGAAGTCAATAGAAACAATAACCAAGTCATTTGTGGTTGTCATTTATTGTATAAAATCATGTGATTTTGGCTGCAAGATTGTGTGGGTTTCTACAATTAATAAACAATCCACGTAGTAGTGGAAGTAAATATTACTCTGCATTTAGTCTTCGATCTAATGTACTGGATTAGGAATCAGAATGTGAAAAGTCCCTTAATATATTCAATGTTTTACATGATTATACTAGCCAACAATTAATTTTCTTATCAAATCCTTTTTGGAGTTAATTTTGGTTTCATGTACTCTTAAAATTCACTTTTTTTTTTATATTACATTAATCGTTTAGATATATATCTTTAATTAAAGGGTTTTTAATATATTTAATCGATGCTCAATATAAATCGATGTTACATAAGATATGTATATATTAATGTTAAAATACATTATATTGATCAAATTGAATTTTAACATTTCCAAAATTAAAAGATTTAAATACGCATAATTGAATATTAAAATTGATTTTTTATATATAATAAAAAAATAATAAAATGTGTTTTTTGGTAAATATGACAATATACTTTTAATCCTCTAAATTCTAGTTTATTGGAAATTTTTAAAAATAATATACATCATAATGTCCTGCCTCTAATTTTGACATATCATAAATTACCTCAAAATAATTGCAACAGGACATGATTGAAATAAATTTATTTTTTTTAGGAAGACTAAAACGATCTTAGTGAAGAGAGTTTGAGTATTAATTTATATGAAATGTTAGTATTAAAATAAAATAAAACTAGTCATTATATTAAAAGTGGAAATTCTCAATATTTTCAGTTTTATATAATTTTGTGCACATTTCACACAGTATGATTCGTCCAACTAAAAATCCAGTCCATCATAGTCTTTTTATATGTAAACTTAATTTCTTTTCAGTGTCTCTTTCATAGTGGTTATGGTTTCACATATATCCAATTCAGACAATGTGAATGAAATTCACAGGAGGAGAAAAGTTGTGGAGTACAAATGTGAATGAATATAAAGTTTCACGTTAGAAGAAATTGAAAAATTATATATTTTATAGAATATAATAAAAGGTAAAATTACTTAGTTAAAGATAACATAATAAAAAATAGTGATAGAAAATTGTATGAGTTTTATATAATGTTAAAATTATAGTAGTTGGTATGGTGACATTACCCTTCCACTTAGGAAAGCAAAAGTGAAGTTGAATTGTGTATGTAGGAAGAAGAAAAGTGGTAATAATGATGAACAACCACAATAAATCTTGCATTTAAAACGTGTCCACATCTACTTTTTCAACATTTGAATTAAGGTCAGATGTTATTTTCAAAAGGAATATCACCATCCAAAGAAAATGGAAAAAGTCTAAATTGCCCACTCTTAAAGCTAATAATTTAATTTCCATTACAAAAACTTTGGATCAAGGATTGTTATTGCTTTTAAAATAATAAATTTTAATAAGACTTATCACATTAAAATTAGGGTTGTAAACAATGAATTTGAGGAAGTTTAATAAGACGTTGAAGATGAATATGAATAGAGCCAAATGTTTGTTTGTTTAGAATACTTTTCCTTCCAATCCAATGCAAACCCATCGTACACTCTATAAATTTCTGTTTTATATCTTACTCACAAACAATTCAAAACAAACAGCTACAATACAACCTTTTCATAGGTTATGTTAAGATAAATATAATTTTCAAAATAATTATTTTCAAAATAAATAAATTCATTTTATTATTAGAGATTCTCGATCTCATTTTTCTTTTTCCTCTTGCTTACAAATCCCATTAAAATCAAGTAAAATTAGATTAGATCAATTCAGAATAAAAAAAAAATCATATCAAAGTCATATTTTGGTATCTAATATTTAGTATTCTCTTATTCCTTTTATATTTTTTTTTAATTTTTGAGCAAAGTGAACCTTCACATGCATTTATCTTGTTTCTATTTGTTATCCATATTTTCATGAGGTAAATCTGAATGTTTTTTATCATGAGATTACTCCTTGAATAATTGCACTTTTAAAATTCTTAAAAATATTATTGACAACAATGTCACAGTTATAAACCTTCACCTTACTCTCACCAAAATCTAGTTCAAGAGAAATAAATCATTAAAAATAGAAACCAACAATTAAATAATAAATTCAATATTCAATTGTTTATACATACCTTAAGGAAATAACTATCAAATGTTTAAAGGCATCTATATTCAACTCTTTTATGTCTCACATGATTACCTCTGCCTTTGCCTCTCATGCTTGAGGATGTGTGGACGATACTACCTTCAATAACAGACGTTTTAGATTTTTTACAGGAAATTTCTTTCTAAAATTTGCATATATGTGATATACAGAGAACCTTTGATCCACACTAGGTAACAATTCTTGTAATGCTGGCAATAGTTCCTATGAAAGTAATTACAGGAAACATTATGGTTAAAGTATCAAGAGTTAGACAAGAAATGTACAGAAAAACAAGAATAAAATATAGAACCTACTTTTTGTTGGTCTGAAATAAATGTATATCTTGAACAAGGTGCAACCCTGCCAAGGTTGTTAATCAACCATTCCAAAAACCAACTCCATGTTTCCTTATTCTCAACTTCAACAACAACATATGCTAAATGCATCATTTTCTCATTACCATCTCTTGCCATAACGATTAACAACTCCATTCCATATTTACCTTTAAGAAAACATCCATTTAAACCAATAATAGGCCTATAGGAT